CTTCTATTCAACGAAAGGAGACTGCGACCACACAAAAGGCCACACCATCTTGGTCTTTATACCTGAGATATCTTAAGTTTTTCAGCACTATTATGTTAGCCAATTTACACAACTACGCATTATGTGGCACTTTTCTGTTATATTGACCCGCTTTTAGATTGCGCTAATAATGAGTGACGATCTCTTTAATTTAATTAAACGTATTGCGTGCTGTAACCTTTTGCAATTTTCTTTATGCCGCTTCGTGAATATAATTATTTTCCGTGAATCATCCTCAGGACCTTTTACCTACAAATAATTTAGCTAGGTTCGTCGAAATCTAATAATGCTTTATCTTAAAAATGAAATAGAAAATCTCAATTAAAGATTGTGAAACACTTTTTTTCTATCCTACTACAATCGCTCGTGGCTAATTGTGACTTTTCCAACAGGTTTTAAGTGATGTTTTGACCTCGTTTTTGCGATTCATGCGGGGCGACAGGCAGATTGGAGCGCACCCAGTTTTGCGTCCTCTACCTTGGTATTTACTATAGCTTACATAATCGGATCGTTGACTATAACGTCCTTACGTGGCCTCATATTTCTACGATTATTTTTCCTTGTACGAGTATGCAAATTATCTCAAAATTTTCATACTCTGGTATTAGTTCAAGCTTCATACACCTACCATAAATTTTACTGGACAATGGCACGCGTTCATTAACTATTCCAAGATGAAGATTTCTACTCGATTTCTTGCCTCTAGATAAAATCATAGTAGCTCTTCCCTTATATTGTGTATTTGGAGATTCTGTTTTGAAACCACATTTCCCGGATGAGATAACTCTTAAGATTCAAAATTTGTCAAAGCTTCGAATGCTTGAATCTCGAATGTGTTAAGTCCTACAATTTTGCATCACTTTGTTTTGTGAACTACAGCAATGTTCTAAGTTTACCGTTTATTTTAGATGGTGGCCTTACGGAAGAAGAGATTCGCCGTATCCAGGGCATGCGGGCCCGGGTACCATTTGCAGTAGTTGGCTCTAATACTGTAATAACATCTGCATCGGGGAAAAAAATACGAGCGCGATCATATCCTTGGGGTGTTGTCGAAGTAGATAACTTGGAGCATAATGATTTTTCAGCCTTACGGCATCTACTTTTAACTGTACATATGCAGGTAAGCACTAAATTGTGTTTGTTTATTGGCTTGCTGGGTGACAAAAATATTTATCAGATTCAATGCATTTTTTCTAATGAAAGTCTATAGTTGTTCAATAGGTGCTTTATATAATGGTGGTTGATCTGCCCATGCTATTTTGATTTTTTCATGAAGTTCCTCTATTTCAATTATCCGAAAAACGGTTTATTTTTCAGCCTATCCTAATATATAGAGATAATCTAATCGAATCCAGCTAATTCAGAGTTAATCCATCAAATTTAATGAAAGTTACTAAATTCATTTTTTGAACAATGCAGTCCAATCATTTCCCATGAGGATTTTTGGGGAAAGGTCACACTTGAAATATCAGGCATTTGCTAATCTTTTTAAATTAATTCGCATTGACTTTTTTTGCTTACAGGATTTGCTTGAAACCACTCATCTCAAACATTATGAGGCCTACAGGTTCAATAAACTCTCTGGGATTGCTCAAATGAGCCACTTCGTAACCCGTGACGGCAAAGATCCAATGCTCTTGATGGAAGCCGAAAAGCGTGAACATGAATCAAAAATGCTTAAGATGGAAAAAGAGATGGAAGCTGTATTCGAAAAAAAGGTTAATAAATAGTTTTCCTCTTATAATTAAATTAGTTTACTATTTTTATGGCGTTCATTGCACAATTTTATATTGAAAGCTCATTTGCATGGCTTTAATAAATCCATGCGAACAAAACTACATATTCGCGGCATCCTTTTTTATTCATATAGCAGACGTAGACTGCAAGAATTATAACTTTAAAATTAGGTTTTAAAAATGTCAT